TTGCTGTCTCAGGGCCTGGAAGGGTGGCTGTCATAGATGGAAAAATTAAATCCAAAGTTTATAAATAAAGTTTGCAGGAGAATTAAAGTCCTGACTTCAACCCGACTGAGATGATGTGGCATGACATCACAAGAGCAATTCACACCACACATCCCAAGAACATTGCTGAACTGAAACAGTTTTGTAAAGAGGAATGGTCCAAAATTCCTAAAATACAGGAAACTTTTGGTTGAGATGCTGATTTGATTGCTGCTGAAGGAGGGTCAACCAGTTGTTAAATCCAAGGGTTCACATACTTTTTTCACCCTGCACTGAATGTTTACACGGTATGTTCAATAAAAACATGAAAACATATAATTGTTTGTCTGGTATTAGTTTATGCAGACCGTGTTTCTCTGTTGTTTTGACTTGAATGATGAAGATCAGATCACATTTTATCCAGGTAATTCCAAAGGATTAAAGTGTTTTTTCCCATGACTGTTTAAGCCAAAATAACTCCAGCCAATTTAAAACCATCCCAGAGTAAAATACATAACCATAGATTTCATTAAAACGTGATGTAGGTGAGTCTGTTCGGTGGATGGATTGTTTTCAGCATCTTGATGCGGTTTAACAACTGCTGCTCTTGAATGACAGAAAAGTAACAGCTCTCTTCATCGTTTACTTTACATATGTAGTCGTGAGAAGTAGCAAACAGTCTTTCATTAGGAGGAACATTTCATTAAAGATAACTTCATGGGGCAGTTGAACGTATTATTTTTATTCTATTTGTGCTATGTGTGTCAAGTTAAGTGAGAGTGTTAAGTCCCAGCACATCCACAGAGATATGAAAGATGTTTGCTGTAGACTTTTTTTTTACAGAGTACCATTACGTTGTCTACATACTGAGCACTGCAGCCAGTCATCTTGTTACACTATTCAAACATGTAACCTGACAATGTTTGTTCAGGTGCCAGATCGTTTGGCCTTACATTAAAGACTTTGCAAGTTCACTGCATTTATTGGTAACTGTGTTTATGGCTGGAACTAAATCCAGATAACTGGCTGATGCTGCCTCCACCTGATACTTTAATGGTGCTGTAGTATTTTACATTGTATGTTGGCGTTTGACATTCAGTGATTTTGTTGTGCTGTTGCTTGCTTCTGTTTTTTTCTTTCTTTTCATACAGGATACAAAATCAATTCAGTGCCACTTTTTAAAAAAGTGGATACATTAATCAATTGGTAAAATATGATTTCATTCATTAATAAAGCCATTTTACAATATGTGAAGAAAGACGACATGGTTTCTGAGTTGTACATAAATACAGGATGTGTTCATCCCTGTTTTCGTGGGGACAGGTTTCAAAAGTGAGGAAAGAGAAAATGCAGTTCATGCAAGTCCAAACATGAGTGATGAATTCATTTTTTCCGACACAGAGTTATACCTAGCAGCCTTTTGGAAAATGGTCAAATTGGATTTTTAGCCTTAAAATACTAAGCTGAATGAAAGGGAAATCTGAAAACTTGCTTGAGTTTTGTACACAAAAGTAAAAAGTGTCCTCCTTGTCTGTATGTGTTGAAAGTTCACATAATAACAGAAAATACATATTGTACAATAATTGCAACCTGGGGGATTTGATAGACATACAGTTACATAAAGTCACTGTTTCATTCTGCTAGTTAAATGATCTACAGTTTTATATACAAAATGTTTCAAGGTGTCCTTGGCTTTATATTAGTTGTTTTGAAGAAATGCTTCCCCTGAAAAATACTACAAGAGCTTGTACTTAGTATTGTTGACATTACTCTCAAGAATCACTGATAGTAATTAAAAATATAATAAAGGAAATGGTTCAGCTGTGTCAAACTTTGCCACTTTGGTTTGCTGGTGTGATACTGGAATATAACTATATATATATATTCCTTGAGTCCCTGGTGTTTTCTTTTAAAGAATTAATGTTTACTACACTTTATTTGATTTACTTTTTTCGAAATCATCTACATAGTACATTACAGAGCTTTAATGTCACCAACAGCATTGTCACCAAAATTACATGAAAATCAGCTTCCTCAGGTTCTTTTCTTAGAGAAAATGAATTACTAGATAATAAGTAGCTGAATCATCTCCCCTTCAAGGGGTTGAAGTAAATGTAACAAATGTATGCTTATTCAGCCACATGATCCGTTCACGTTAGGTGCAAAATAATTAAGTTTGTCTCTTTTAAGTTACAAACTACAACTGCTGTAGATATTCAATGTGCGTGTAATGTGTGATTATATTGTTTTATTATTATGTACTTTATTTAAACTTTGCACTGGAGACACAACAATGAATTTGAAATCAGTAAAGTTACATAAAGAGTGTAGTAAGTGAGTAGTAGAGTGATTAAATATCTTATTTACAATAACAGAAGTAGTAGTTTGTACCTTTAAGGGCTCCCCCTCTGTTTACACACATAGATTTTGTCTTCCTGCCCCCCTCCCTTTGACCAAGGCATTTTTATACTGACTTTAACACACGGCTCAGATGAGTAAATTTAGAGTCAGACTGTTTCCAATTGTGTAACTGGTACTTTGACTACTCTCACTGTTGCCTCATTTGTGCTCATGTTTCCACCAAAACCTCAAGAGCAATATGGTTTTACTGTGTATAGCAACAACACAATTGTGTTTTATTTTGCAGGGTGCCTCTGCACAAACAAGGAAAGAGTTGTGAAATTTAAGTTTTGTCTTTGGGGTCTACAGACAGTCACTTTGTGGCATTTTAGATGTTCATCTCCTGTAATTACTTTTTGAAAGCGTCCATAATTTCCTAGGGGTCAACCCTGTATTCGTTTGGAAGTTCACAGGAAGTGTGGTACAATGGAGGACAAAATGGCCAGAGGCGTTGTCCACCAGAACACAGAAACACACACACACACACACACACACACACACACACACTCACACACACACTCACACACACACACACACACACACAGAGGGAGTAGAGGAAGTTGTGAGGTGGTGTTAAAGGACATGACCAGACTTTTAAAAAGGTGGCGACTGTGCTGTTTCACTGTGGACCTGAAGGGGAAATGAAATGCAAACAAGTTACACTTTGCTGACCAGTCGCCTCCATGTGAGTGCCGCCCACAGAGACGGTGTGTCTGTTTTTTTTTTTAAAGAGCCTATTTAAGAGAGTATGCAGCATCTGAAACATGATGGGAATGTGTGTGTGAGAGTAAGAGAGAGAGAGAGAGAGAGATGAATGTAGACACATACCATCTGCAGTTCGATACCAGCTCAGTGGGCCCATAGATTTTTAGGTCTAATGAGATAATGACCCTGAGGCCAATGGCCACATACTGTACAGCAATCAATTTCAGTGGCCTGTTGTGCTTTCATTGCACCCATTTCTTTACAGATTCAATTATTTTTCATGAGTTTATTCTGCTGTACTCGTTTGGAGGGAAAATGTGGATTATGCAGAAGCAGGATAGCATCTCTAACCCTCCCTGTTTTATTCTTTCTCTCCATCCACTGCCCAAAGACGTGATTAGTATGTTATGACTGAAATCTCTGCTATTTAAAGGGCCCGCAGTAAAAGTCAGAGTCCCCATTTTAAGTCCTCAGTGTGACAGTTAGGTCCAAGTTGGTAATAAATAGCTAAATAGTCTTGTCATTTGCCTTGGACATAAATAAAGCCTGTCAAAAAGGTTTGCTTTCTGCCTCACGGGAGGACGTTTATCTCTTCATGGAAACAAAAATGGATGTTTTACTCCTGTAGTGTTGTCGTCTTATCATCTGGAGACTCTGCAGAAAGAAACTGAACTGTATGGCCAGGGTGGAGGGTTAACTATCCTCAGGAATGTCAATCTGTCCTTGCATCTTGTGATTCTGTGCATCTCAGCAGGAGGACAACCCCTGCATGCTTGAGAGTTGAACCTGTAAATCAGCAGGAGTGCCCATGTGTGGCATTATCCAGGCTCTGTTCTGCACCGTGTAGTGTGCTGTTGGGTACAAAGGGCCACTGTGTTTTTAGTAATGGGGCATACACAGACCTCAGATTCCAGGGGACAGCTGCCAAACACCAAACACACACACACACACACACACACACACACACATAATTAAGGCATGCACAAAGTTAACACACTTGCAGAGATCAGTTTTTACCTATCCATAGAGTCCTGCAATGAATGCTGAAAGCTTAAATTCCTCTAGGCCATCAAAACTGCACATTATTAAAGAGACATTAGAAAAACACTTCATGAATTCAGGGGTGGAATGGAAGTAAGTACATATTACTTTTAAGTAATGTACTAAAGTACAATTTTGAGGTACTTTACTGGACTATTTCCATTTTTTGCTTCTTTATACTTCTACTTTACTACTTGTCAGAGAGAAATATTTTACTTTGTCTCATTTTCCCAATAATTTGTACCAAATTACATACTTCTTTTCCGTTGTGGAAACAAACGAGATCTACTTTTACTACTACTTTATCTACTCTACTTAAATACAATTTTGAGATACCACTACCTTTATTTAACAGTTAGTTACTTTTCAGATTAAGATTTACATGCACAAAACATAGTAATGTAATATCTAGTAGATATTCCTATGCATCAGTTGGCATATTGAGTAGGCAACTTTTACTTTTGATACTTGAAGTAGCTGTACTTTTACTTAAGTCAGATTTTGAATGCAGTAGCTAATTTTACTTCGAATGGAGTATTTTTTGAGTGTGGTATTCCAATTTTGACTTGTGCTACTTAAATGATCTGAAAAGCCTACTTCTTCCACCATTGAGTGACTTAATCAGAGAAACAAAAATAGCGCAAGCACCAGTGAAGGAGTTCTGGTGCCAGAAAACAAGGCATATATCTGAAATCGTCTATCCTATACTTTTTAACTGCTCCTTGGTAGGCTAATGGTAAAGCATTGTAGCCTTCCTTCTCCCCCTCCCGTGTGGTTTTACGCTTTTGATCCCAGAGGGACCTCGCGTTTTACATTCCTGGCATTCCGACTTCAGTCCCTCCTCGGTTACTTATTATCGCCGCCTGCTCTCTCCACAATCATTTCACAGCAAGAGAGGACCGCGGCAGCCCGTCTGGGGGGAGGACGATGAGACACGTTTGACTCGAAAAGAAACAAAACTCATGGAAATAGTGGAATTACTCTGAATTTGACGACGAGATCGAGAACAAGGTTTCGTTACGATGAGAGCCTGAGCTGGTAAGAAGAAAAAAAGAGCACAAAAATAAATAAAGACTTTTAACTTCTGGTTCAAAGTGTTGGTAGTGTCGTGTGTTATGAGGAAGTTAAACGCTTGTTTCTTTTTACAGAGTTTTAATTAACTCTGGGTTTTTAAAATAACTGTGCTATAAGACCGAAGATTAAGTTATTTTACAATGCGGGTTTGTGCGCTTTTGCTCCCCCGTGAGATTGGAATTTTTGGCGCATGCTTTTTTTTCTGCTTGCTGTGGAAAATGTCTCCACATCTCTGTGTTGTCGCTGTTGCAAAAGTAGACTCAAGGCTTCACTATTTTCATACAGTAGCCCACTCGAACTGAAATAGTGATCAGAGAGGTTAATAGAATTTTAAAGTAAATGTGTTGACATTAAAGTCAGTGTTGGCCTGCATGCTTTAAACACAGCCTTTCTTCTGCATGTGACTTTATTGATAGTATGGTAATGTGGTTAACTATCAATTGTCTCCTGTTATACCTGTTAAATCCTGCCACCTCAGGCTGATTGTACTTTATTCTCTCATTCTGCTCTGTTCACAGCTGATTTATTTAAATATTTTCAAAGAAAGAAACAGCTCAACTTTAGAGAAGATAACAACGTGCACAAAGTGTTATGTCGTCCACCGAAGAGTCGTCTGGCACGGTCTTGCACCGGCTCATCCAGGAGCAGCTCCGCTACGGAAACCCTACTGACACCCGCACCTTATTAGCCATCCAGCAGCAGGCCCTGCGCGGAGGCAGTGGAAGCAACAGTGGACCCAGCAGTGGAGGCGACATGGGCAGGAGCCCACGATCCTCTTTGGAGAGTCTTACCCAGGAGGACCCTACTTTTCCTCAGCTCTCTACGAGGCAGGAGCCTCAAGGCCAGGAGCACCAGGGGGACTACCACCACTCAGAAAGTGGCTACCAGCTCTACCAGCTGCACGGAGAGGAGCTACCAACTTACGAGCAGGCCAAGGTGCACTCACAGTATCTGGCCTCTCACTGGGCCCCTACAGGCCCCATCAGGCAGCTTCATGAGGGGACGCTTCTGCATGAAGGGGCCTTCCATGAAGAGGCAGATCTGATGGAGCTGAAGTGCAGCCACGTGCGGTCACTGAGCGAGCATTGTATGCAGATATCTCTGGAGAGGAATGATGCAGCTGCTAAAGCAGAGGCCATCAAGAGTACGTCTCACAGCTACCCTGAGCTTCCTTACTACACACCACAAATCCTCCAGAGCACGGGACAGAGCCTGGACAAGCGCAGCCCACCTCCAGAGTACTCAGCCCCCATCCAGGGCCAAGGATTTATCCCTCACCAGGTCCAGGAGTCGATGCAGGCACAGCAGCACAGGTACAATGAGAGCTTCGGAGGACTTGATTGTGTGTGATTGTGCATGCATGGTTTTTTTTTTTTTTTTTTTTTTTACTTCTTTAACATTACATCATATTTTATAGTGTAGTTTTTGAACCAGAGCCAGCCTTGTAATCATCTTCCAGGACTCGTCATTGTGTTTCACATGCGTAAACACATTCTTATCAACGTGAGTCACACTATAACTGCGAATTGATTCACAGTTCTGTCTGTTGAAATGCTTAGAGAAAAACAAGTCTAGCCCTGTAAAGGTGTGCATAATAACTGGCATACTGGAACTGGAACACATGCTTGTGTTGCCTTGGATGCTTTTACAAATGTATGCTTCTCATATAGGCCTTTTCATTTTTTACAGCCAATGGAGTCAGCTTGTTTGCTGCTTGCTGATAGATGGGAATAGAGTGATATTTCAGATGCCTTGCTCAGAAATGAAGTTCTCACAGCTTCAGCTCTAGCTGGCTGCCCCCACAAACATTTTGATTCAGCTGAAGCAGCCTCACATTCAGATACATAGAAAGAGTTAGTTTTTACTCAACAATGTCTCTCTCATAGGTATGTCCAGTCTGGTCAGCCTGCTGAAGTCCCCTGCTACAGCACAATCAATAGCCTGCCACCTGCTGGCTTGGAGGAGCCCAACCAGGTGGAGCTGCTGCTGATGGAGAATGAGAGGCTGAGGCAAGAGCTGGAAGCACACAGGGAGAAGACTGGCCGTATTCAGAAGGTAAGAGAAGGAAATCTGTGTGAGAAAATAGTATTTTTATGCAGCTGACATCTCTCACAGGTCTTGTAGAGGGGAGGAGAGACTGGCAGATTTTGTATGTCAAGACTGAATTTTCTGAAAATCAAATAACATAAAGGGCAGTTGTTAAATCAAGGATCAAAAGTCACTGAGGGCAAAAAGTGAATTCAAAGGGAAAGCCAGACGGCATCCTCCCTCTCAGCCACCTGTCTATGAAACACAACCCGAGTCAACAGTTGTCTCCTCAACATGCAACTGCAGGCACACTCCCTCATCTGGACTGGACAGATGAGATCAGCAGCTGCTACCTGCCATACCACAGAGGCACAAACAGAGGTCACAGCCTGCTATTGTGTTTACACACTCCTTTCATTGTGGAGCTGACCTGGTGGAGACCAGAGAGTGTGTGTGTGTGCTTTTAGTTCCACAGAGGCCATAGATTTTCAGCCTAATCTGGGGCTTGTTAGACAGCAGTCGATGGGGTTGTGACCCACGTGCACAGCTGATGAGGGTGGATGGGGGTCCGTGGCAGGTGGTGGGCTGCTGTGTAAAAAGTGAAAAGGTCGTGTTTATTTTCTTTATCACTTTTCCCGCCTTCACTCTTTTAACCCCAATTTATTTTCCTGCCCTTTTTTTTTTTTTGCTCCTAAACAGGCACCTAAAAATAAGATATTGCAAGACCATTGCGGAAACAGCTTTAGAGAGATTTGACACCTCGGCCAGTCTTTGTAAAATCCCCTCTGCTCTCTGCTGGAATTATGTCACATGGCCCTTGCCTTGTCTCAGCCTTAAAGAATGATAATTGCCGGGATTGGAAAGTTTTTTCCGTCAGGCCACAGCCCTGAGTAAACATGCCTGTGTGACTGCTATAATGGTGGGTTTCTCTTTGCCGTTTCCACAACCCAGGCACAGGCATGCACACCTTCCCACCGCTGGCAGACTTCCCAGACCTCTGTTTGTGTGTGTGTGTGTTTGTGTGCATGTTAACTTGTGCTTTGCGGTTTGTTGTGCGTAAATGCGCGCTCTTGTGCTCTCACACACCTGGAACAAGAGCTATCAGCCCTCAGGAATGTAGATATAAATCAGTCTCACAGGGAGTGGTGCAGGCTTGAATTCCTTCACACACACACACACACACACACACACACACACTGAGTGTACTGTATACACACATTCACATATGTACCCCTAGGTACAGTATATTGTACGTGTATGTACTGTAACAACATGAATCCACTTTCCAGCTCCTCCATGGCATGTAAAGTAGGTTAACCAAAATGTTCTGTGCTCCTTTGTCCTCCCCTCCAATCCTCCCCCATCTCCTCTTCTTTTTCTTCCCTTTTCAGTTGGAGCAGGAGATCCACCGTATTTCGGAGGCCTATGAGACACTGATGCATGGCAGCAGTAAGAGGGAAAACCTGGAGCAGACACTAAGGAGGAGGCTGGTGGCAGAGATCAGGAGGCTGCAGGATTTCAACAGAGACCTTAGAGGTATGGACGACTGCCACGAGACACATAGTACCACGTCAAAGTGTACTACCATAATGTCAGATCCAGAATTTACACAGTTCATAATGTGGTCTAATTTTAAAATGTTGCTGCCTTACAGAAAACTTGGAAAATGCCAGAACGCATGTTGCAAAAGAAGTAAAAGCAGCCGACCATAACCAGCACATCATGGCCAAGCTCCTTGAACAAAGTAAGTTGACTAGACTCCTCTCCCCGGCTCTCTGTTACATCCTCCTTTGTAATCAACATGCTTGATTGGGTTGGATTGTAGCATAGCATGGGGCCCTTTTTGTATCCTGCACGCAGGAATGTTCACTTGCATAACTTCAGCTTATTTGGTAAGAAGGCTTAATTATAGGCAATTCAATCCACACACCTCCTTAGCAAAAGGGAAACAAATGAAGCTCTAAATCACAGAGTGGATGTGGGAGAAGAAGTGGAAGTGGTAGAAAATGAGGTCCCCCCACCTGTTGTTAGTGTGATTTATGTTGTCTGTTTAAGGAACTGGACTCAAGCAGAGTGGTGGTGTTTGTATGGCCTTGATGAAGAATGCTCTGTGCTATGTGGGTCAAAGGGATAGGGCGGCCTTCTCCCCCTTCCTCCTCCTTCCTCCTCTCAGCATTCCAGGAGTGCTTCGCTAAATGAAGAACACTGTCCACCATGTAGCAACGCCGGTACTTATTACTGGGGTTGGACTGTGGAGGGAGAAATTGGGGATTGATGCTCGTGTGTTCTTTCATGAACCTCAGGCAGATTTGTAATGATTTCATATTTCATTTCAGGTGTGTGTGTGTGTGTGTGTGTGTATGCGTATTAAGAATACGTTGATGTTCATCAAACATGTGATTAACCTGTCCACACTTTTTACTTTTCCTTTGCTTCAGATGAGGAGCAGAACTTTGAGCGGGAGCGCGTGGAGCGGGAGCTGCAACGATTGCGATCCACGGCCGAGGAGCAGAGCGGCAGGGCGAAGCGGCTCGAGGAGGCCCTAGAGGCAGCCCGCGGACGAGGACGCCAGCTGGAGGAGGAGTTGAGAAGGAAGAGGGCTTACGTGGAAAAGGTGGAGAGGCTTCAGAGCGCTCTGGCTCAGCTGCAGTCCACCTGTGAGAAGAGGGAGAGTCTGGAGATGAAGCTGAGGACTCGACTAGAGCAGGAGCTGAGGAGCCTGAGGGCGCAACAGGTCAATATCCTGTCCGAGGAAAACTATCAAAAAACCTCATTTATGAAAGTTCTGTATTTCTTACCATTTTTTACTCTCTCCCTCCACCTCAGAGGCAGTCCCAGCCGCCAGGAGTGACCATGAGCTCGCTCCAAGAGCGCCTGCGGGAGCGCGAGGAGCGAATCCTGGCCCTTGAGGCCGACATGGTTCGCTGGGAGCAGAAGTACCTGGAAGAGAGCACCATGAGGCAGTTTGCAATGGAGGTGGCTGCCACTGCCGCTGCCCAGAGGTAAAGATTGCTGGAGCTTGACATTTGCTTGACATCCGCTGGGACGTCCTAACACACATTTTCTCAGCTCATTTGAATTTGAGTTCCGAACAATGTCCTTCCCTTTGCAGAGACACCACCATCATTAACCACTCGCCCTGCCACTCCTCTAACAACAGCTTCAACGAGGACCTGCCAGTTGCCGACTACAGGAATCAAGAGATGGAAAACAGGTTCATACCTATAATTTAACTTTTTTTTTCAAAGAATTGCCTTTACAAATCAGATTGTTGTTGTTTTGTTTGTCTGTAGCTTATCCGCCTTCTGATGTGTTTTTTGGGGTTTCGGTTTTGTACCAGGATCCGTGCTCTGTATGCTCAGATCTTGGAAAAAGATGCTGTGATCAAGATCCTCAACCAGCGGCTGCACCAGGACCAAGGGCGTAAGGACGAGCAAAGTCCCCGTACAAACCTCCTGAATACAGCGGCGGCAACTCTCCAGCCTGCCTCCTCCACTCCTTCCATCAGCACCACCAAGAGCACCACAAACAGTAGAGGCGAGGAGCATAATGTTGCCTTTTTCAATAATTAATTTTAGTGGCGCTCCAGTTAAGCAGCCTATTGTACTTCTTATGTTACATGCTCAAACTGTATATTCTGTTCAGACACAGTCTGATCTTGTACAAGCTGCTAAAAAGTTTGCAAAGCACAAGATGTTTATTGCAGTAGATGAGAGTAGAAAGCACTGCTGACAGATCCTGACATTTTTTTTGTGATGTTATCTTTTAGGTAAGAGCCTTTCAGATGATCAGACTCCGCCAAACTGTCAGTTCTCTGAACCTGGAACGCTAGAACGGCAGGGGGAGGGAACCAAAGCCAAAGAGGCTGCCAGCACGACTAAGCTCAACAGTGGTGAGTGATTGATCAAAAATGCACCAGTGCGATTGTTTACAAGGGCTGATAATCCAATAATGGTCTCAGTATAAAACTTGAATGATAAATGATTTGCACACATGCGGAGACACAGCATGAAAAAACAACACACACACCACATATGTGCACTCTTCTGTGTACGTGAAAGGAGTTTTTTGGACGTCAACTTTATGCATGTTCACATTGATTAACTATGCTGCCTCTTAGCCAGCCAATCAGATACCATCTGTCCAGGTCATGGTTCATATTCTGGGCCTAATGGAATGTGCATGGTTGGGAAATAATGTGGATCTGTTGACTGAGCACATTTATCAGAGTGGTCTGTTTGACTGTGGAAAATCTAACCTTTTTAGTCATTGATAGTTGAGCTCAGTCTGGGACATTTTGCCACTGTTTTTGCCTTAAGGCATTTATACAACTATTCATTCTCTCTTGTCCCCCCCCCCCCAGACAAGGCAAAGAAGTTTCTATTAAACCCCTTCAGAGGCCTGGATGAGCTGGAGTCAGAGGCAGTGGAAATCTTCATTTAAAGAACTGAGAGGTAGATTTTGAATGAGGAAAAATGTCTATTCTGGGAATCTGTGAAGAGTGCAAGTCTTTGAATAGAGAATGGATTAAATATTGGATGCAAGAATGTCGAGGAAAGACGCCAACGCACGAAACAAAGAAGAAAAAAGGACTGTTTTCAACATTTTAGAGACAGAGCTGTGCTCCGACTCACTCATTCTCACTGAGCTGGACAGCTGCAGGCAGTCTGCCCAGCTGGGGGAGAGAAGATAAATTTTCCAAGGTACTTGGACAGTATTGTGGATTGTAATAGGGCAACATGTTGTCAGAGTGTATGCCAAAATATTTATATAAATATATATATTGCTGCTTTTCCCCCTTTATTACCCCCCTTTATCTTTTGTCCAGTGAATTGAGAAGCTACATATTTATCTTATCTGGTTTCCACATTCCCCAAATATTAATTTAAGCCTCATGCTCTTCTAGATAAATATTCAATAAAAGGTTATCTATATGACCCGCAGTCCCCTCCTCTCTCCCCCCAAAAATGTGCCGTCAATCTGAGTAACTTCATTCCCGTCACATGGCTCTTATCTGTTTGGAAGACTTCCCCTTTGATCAATAATTTAAGCTTACAACACAAGAAACACTGCTGATATAAATGCCCTTGCTGTCCACGTTTCTCAAGGCTGAGTAGCTGGTTCTGCAGAAGCTTAGAGGGGTGTGAACAGTGGGATGCATGACATGTAAAAGATAATATATTGTTTTTACGCCAAACTGACAAAAACCTGGCGTTGTTTGTAATTTTGGGAAGGTGTTGCATCGAGGGTGTTGATTTCATCATCTGTTGCATTTTTCTGATAACTTCTTCCTTTTCAATAGTATGTTTGCATGTGTGATTACCGTATGTGAGTGTGTTTCCTGATGGTGGTGATTCTGCTGGTTTGGTCACCACTGTGGGATAAAAGTTGAAAACAACACCGTGTTGAGGTTTTTTTGTTTACTGTGAGCTTTGAACTAACAAAACTGGTTAATTATTATTATTATTATTATTATTATTATTTTATACAGATGTTTGTATTGTTATTTTAGATATAATAGTGCTTTGAGCAGGATGCCAAAGAGTTTATGTATTTTTGTGGTAAATTATGTGCCGACAATCACGGTCATGTCAAGCTGTACACAACCACCCAAGTGTTGACTTCAAACAGACATTTCTGTGAACTTCAAACAATATGAAGGTTTTTACAGTTGAATTTGTGCAACATTTCAGAAAGCAATAAAATATTCTAATATACATCGACTGGCTCCTTGACTTGTGAATTGTTTCATTTACGTAGGGTTTTACTCTTGGCTATTTTCTATGTGCTGATTATGTCAAATATACCCATAATGTCAGTTATTCTGGTGAACATTGCGATTCGTCTCCTGTTTCCCTCCCTCTTCTCGCTCTCATTGTCACCCTATCTCCTCATTCCTGTCCTCTTGCTGCACCACAGAGAAGAGTGCTCTTCATTAATGAATACCAGAGCTGCATTCTTTTGGGTTCAGCTTTCTCGGGTGGCCTGCTCGCTTGTTCTCTTCTTCCCATGAAGAGCATACTTGACATAGATCACATTCTCGTGGGGACACGTAACCCTGTAAGTGACAAAGATAGGCTTCTCCCAGATTAGCCACTAATGCCATTTGAAATTCCTGTGTGCCGCCATCCACCTTTGCTAACGTGCTGCATTCCTAAATGCTTTCATTGCCGCCAAGTTAACATCCAACCCAGAGGTGTTTATGAACTATTTCAAGAAGTGCCACTGGATATGAAGATGAGAGAATGGAGAGCTCTGTTATTTGGTATCTGTTTCAAGATTGATCTTTCACACACACACACACACACACACACAACAGAGCCACAGATAACGACTTGTACCAGTCTGGGGCAGTTTAGCAGGGCTTACAATGGCCTTCACAATGCAGTAGGACAATGACAATGACAAAGACCGTGAACGTTATGCTGTCATCAGTGTCCACTCACATGATTCAGTCATCCTACAGCACTGCGTCCAACATGTTTGTGAAATAAAAAATACGGCCGTGATAAATGTGGAGCTGAGTGGAGCACTGAAGTTAGTGAGGCCGCCTTTAACCTGGAGTAGCTGGAGTAAATATTTGGTTTGGTTTGTTGAAATTAAAACACATCACACAAAACGTCTTATACTCACTTTACCATTTTCACCAAACGTTTCCAGCTATCTTGGTTGTTTTTGTTTATTGACAGCATGTAATATATTTAAAGAAAACAACAGTACCACAAAGGTGTTATAAGTTGTTGTTTTTTGTTTTTTGTTTTTGTTTTTGTTTTTTTACAACAAACTGAGTTAACCAGGGGCCTGTACCTGTGCCCTTTCTATGAAGCAGGGCACTCCAGGTGTGGTGGACCGACGCAGTGTCTCGTTCCCCTTCTCGGGGAACAAGGGTTACATACGTAACCTGAGACGTTCCCCTTTGAGGGAACTCGAACTGCGTCAGTGACGACACTATGGGAACGAGATACCCACTTAGGCCGCCTGCCCCCAGCATGCAGAACCTGATGGCACGAGTAGGAGGAGAGCGCACGGGTGCCAGGTGCAGAAGGAAGGTCCAGACTGTAAAACCGGAAGAAAGTGTGAGGGGTGGCCCAGCCAGCCGCATTACACAAATCCTGGAGTGACGCCCCTGCGAGGAGGGCCCTAGAAACCGCCATGCCTCGAGTAGAGTGCGCCCTTACGGCCATAGGTGAAGGCAAACCGCGCACCTAATAGGCCAGGGAAATAGTCTGAACAATCCAGTTGCTGATGGTGTGTTTAGAAGCGGGGAGCCCAGCCTTGGGGGACCCGAAACACACCAGCAACTGGTCTGCTTTCCTCCACCGGGAAGACCTCAGAGTGTAAATACTCAGTGCTCTGACAGGGCAGAGCAGATGAAGTCTCCCATCCTCCGCCATCACATGAGGTGGGGGATGAAATGCCTGCAGCACCGTGGACCCTGCCAGTCTGGCCGGAACCTTAGGGACATAACCTGGACAAGGGTGCAGGATGGCCCTGACCCTCCCCGGGGCAAACTCCAGGCATCGGGGAGAAATCAAAAGTGCTTGGAGATCCCCCACCCTCCTCAGAGAGGTGATAGCAAGGAGAAAGATCATCTTAAGGGTCAGGTTTTTGGCCTCAGCCAACTCCAGGGGTTCGAAGGGGGCCTCAGCCAGCGCTTTGAGAACCACTGCCAGGTCCCAGGTGGGAACCCTGGAACGAGTCACGGGTCTCATCCTCCTGGCTCCACGGAGGAAGCGCACGACCAGTGGAAGTCTCCCCAAGGGCCCATCACTCAGAGGGGCGTGGAATGCTGCAATGGCGGCCACATACACTTTGAGCGTGGACGGGGAGAGGCCCGCGGAGAAACGGTGCTGGAGGAACTCCAGTATCACAATTACCGAGCAGGTAACTGGGTCCACCGCCCGTTCTCTGCACCAGGTGGTGAACACATTCCACTTTAGGCCGTACATCCTTCTCGTGGACGGGGCTCTGGAGCTAAGCAGCGTCTCGACTGCTCCTGTCGTCAGGCCCGCCTCTAGGAACTGCGCCCCCTCAGGGTCCAGACCCATAGCTGCCACAGGGCGGGGTGCGGGTGAAAGATCCAGCCCTCCGCCCGGGACAGCAGGTCTCCTCCTTCTTGAGGAGCGATTTTAAATCCGAGAACCACACTCGTGCCGGCCAAAACGGGGCTACTAATAGTAGACTGACGGGAGCAGAGCAACTGGGGGAAACGCATATAGAGACAGCCTCGGGCACATCTGCACCATGGCATCCAGCCCTAGCGGGGCTGGGGGCGAGAGGGAGAACCACAGGGGACAGTGCGCCGTCTGAGATGGAGATGTGGAAATAAGCGTCTTGCAGATCTATTGTGACAAACCAATCCTCGGATTGGATGTGACTGATGATGGCGGGGATGGTGAGCCTCCTGAACCTGAATCTCCTCAGAGATTGGTTCAGGGACCGCAGATCCAAAATCGGACGCAATCCTCCGTCCTTCTTGGGAACCAGGAAGTATTGGCTGTAGAAGCCGGCTTCTCTGACCGGCGGGGAAATGAGTTCTATGGCCCCTTTCCCTAGCAGAGAGCGGACTTCCTGTCCCAACATCTGGCTCTGTTCTGCGTGTACTGCAGTCCCGACCATCCCGCTGAATCTGGGGGTGCGAACCCGGAACTGCAGCCTGTAGCCATCCACTATTGTGCGCAGGACCCACGGGGAAATGTTCGCGAGGCTCCGCCAAGCTTCCGCGAAATTCCCCCTACTTGAAGTCTCAGGACCTCTTCCCCCGGGCCCGCCGAGACTGAATGACGGTCCTCAGATCTGTCTTCTTGGGGGGCTGTGGGCAAGAGCGCCGTCTTGCCTCCCAGGTTGGTTGAGGGGGATCCCGTGAAGTGACGGTCTGCTTCTGGCTGCGGCGGTAGGTGCTGGACGAAGGCTGCGTCCGCCTTTCCTGAGCCGTCGCGGTCCTGGAGCCTGACCGGTGGGGGAGATATCGCTCAAACGCCTCTCCCTGAGTTTTGGCGTGCTGGAACCTGTTCACGACAGCATCCACTGCTTCGCCAAACAGGCCAGTAGGCCTGTTTCTCCGTCACGATGCCGTAGTCCAGCCGGGGGGACGTAGACAGCTGTGCAGAGAAGGGTTTGTTCCACGATCTACACAACTCGTTGTGTAGTTCCGGAAAAAATGGTAAGGGCCGACGCGGGGGTGGCACTCGGTGTTGCAGAAACTGCTCGTCTAGTTTGTTGCCCACCGAAGGCTGCTGCACCGCCTGTGGCCAATCAATGTGCAGTTTGGCCACAGCCCGCGTCATCACTTCCAACAACTCCTCGTATCCTGGCGAGGGCTGATGACGTTCCGTTTCCCCAAAGTCATTCTCCATGCTAAGCACATCTGGCTCCTCAGAGCCAGATCGTGCAAGCCTCTCCAGACTCATACCTGGAGTGGGAGAAGCAGAGAAACGGGCTCCCAATCGGGGACGAGAAAAAAAAGGCCTCAGCTGTCCCGGCACCCTCGGCAATCTTGCGTTGTGATCCCCAGGATCGGAGCCGCCGCAACGCCTCAGCGACCGCAGGGCCTGAGCCACGGGGGAGCGCATCCGACCATCCTCTAGACCTCACCACCCTCAGGGGCAGGGCCTCGCAATGGTCGCAGCTCCCTCGAGAGCTGCCTGGGCGTGCGACATCCTCAGGCATGAGACGCACATTCCATGGTTATCACCTTCCGTGATGAAGCGCTGACAGGGAAAGACACACTGTCGGAATCGCTTCGACATGATCTGCTGCTTCGTCTCGACTTCAGGTAAGATGATGGAGCTTCCAAACATAGCCAGAGTGCCTGCTGAATAGAAAGAAGCTAATGTGTCCTGTGTGCCGGCGTGCTTATATACCCCTCCGGTTACGCCGTCACACACTACCGTTCTAGTAACACCAATAGGATTGGAGTAGTTTCATTCATAGTTCAGCCCTGCCGCGCCCAGAGGCGTTCCCATAGTGTCGTCACCGACGCAGTTCGAGTTCCCTCGAAGGGGAACCCAGGGTTTCCCAATTCAACCGGGAGTGCGTTCACATAAAAGCGGCTGTGTTAGCAGCAGATGACCACAGACATGAACAAGTCTACTGGCAGCAGAGCGTAATATTTTATGAACGAGGATTAAACTGTAGCACTACAGAAATACGACAGTAGCACGCCTGCAGCTGACACATGCAGGCAGACAGAAATTTGCCGACAGTCTGAATGTCTACATGAACAGGCGTAGTCTATAATATTGCGTTGATTTGATGTGTGCTTATGAGCTGTATGAAAATATCCGCAGCCTTATTCTTTCAGCTCGGCTGTGTGTCTGCGTTTCCACATTAAAAGACACAGGCCGTTCCACCTCACTTTAAAAAACTTGTTGTCACTTCAAAAATGAGATTTATTTATTTAACACACTCAAAAGTGTTCCAAACATTGTTCTAAATTAACTTCAACAAGAACAATAAAATACTGCATTTATTTCCATCACTGTCTCACTGGTGTTTTTACAGCTTTGCCAAATATCCTATCTGCTGAAGTGTCCTTGAGCAAGACACTGAATCTCATCTGCTCCAGGGTGCTGATTTAGTGGTCTGAAGTCCCTGTGGAGGGAGGAAAACAGTGAATGTCTCTGCAAGTACATTATGATAATGTTACTGCGGTTGAAACATGATTAAAAAGTAGGCTCCCTGCAGTGGGATTGAAGCTAAATATCAAAAATCACAAGAAT